ATATTAAATTATAATTATATACACTGTAAATTGCAATTGTCATTTGTCGTGCATTCAATATATACCTACTATTTTATCTATATAGTAATCACCTAGCACTGTCTAACTAATATCAAAAAAAAATATCTATATAAATAATGCAGTATGTGCAATTAAGTAGGTACCTACATACACCAACGGATCGTGGTTAATGTAAAAATTTAATAGTTTGTTCATCTTTAATAGTCTTCTACACAAAAAATAATTTCATTGAAAATGCTGAACAAAAAACGCTACCAATTGAAGGCGTTTTTAAAGAACGGAAATAAGTACTGTATATACTATAAATAACTATATATAACATAGGTAGATATATAATTTACTTATAAAGAATAGAAGAGAAATCGTATGCCTATAAGCGAGTGTTACGACGAAGAAAAGTTCCAAAACAGTGAATAAAATGAATAATGTAGGTTGGATTGTAGGTTGAACATACTTTTTATGTTAGATATAGGCATATAACTTATAACTATCATAATATCATTTTAGCTAATTTCTCACAATTAAATCTGTTCAAATTATTTCTTAAAGTATGAACTGTTCATCAAAACATATTATAACGATACAAAAGCAAAATAAATGCATAGGTATTAACATCGTTTATATAATTAATAGTATTTATTATCAATGCCCAATGGTATTAATTACCCATGCATTTGTTCGAGAAAATCAAAATTAGACATTTAAGTRCAATATATTATGTTGGTATTTATTACCACTATTTAAGTATAATTGTACATAATATATGAACAGAATTGGAAGTGGTCGTTAATAATAAGAAAGTCATCACTCGATAAATCGAAGAATCAAGATCATGCGTTAGATCATAAAGTATATAAAAGCCATGTGATGTGAAAGTCAAATTTTCACGAGCATGTGAACTGTGGTCTGTAAAGACGACAAAACTGAGAGCAGCTTCCGATGAGGATATCTGCAGAGAGGTAAGTATACCCGACAGAAAATTGCTATACGATCGTAGAAGAGAAAGTGTCATACTACGACCGACTAAATATACAAGTTAAGCATATACTA